ATAAAGACCCTCACTCCGTCACGCCGTCATAAGATGCAGATTGATTCATTCTGTCACGCTGTCACAAGATGGCTACACACACGGCGGAGGCAGGGTTCCCATAATGAGCCGTAATGAGGGATCAGCAGGGACCTGCGGCTGCGTGGTACTAGGCTGAGGCGGGGGACCTGAGGCCTTACCCCCGGCCCAACGGGGCTTGACAGGGGACCTCAGGCTGCACCCCCTGCCCGGTGGGGCTTGATGGGGGACTGCAGGCCATGCCCCCCACCCGGTAGGGATTGACTGGGGCCCCGAGGCTGCGCACCCTCCACACACACCGCCCCCCCCCCCCCAGCCCTGCGGAGCTTGATGGGGGTGGGGCAGCCGGGTCTGGATCTCACCCAATGGGGATGGGGCCGGCCAGGTCTGGGTCCAGTGTGATTCAAGATGCACGCGGGTGTGTGAGGACTTGACTCTGGGTCTTGCGGCATGTCCCAAACTCTAACAGGAGGAAGATTTTCATATACATTTTACTAATTTTCTTTCATCTCTGACACTTCTATTATAGAGAAAGGGCAAATAGCAATATTGAAATATCTCCTCTAATTCCCTTTTAATGTGCATGAATTTTGTGCAGCAGACCACTAGTAAATAAAAAACTCAGGAGAGGGGTTGAGGGTGCCAGGAAGAGGGGACATGAGTGACAGTTGTCACATTAAATCTTGTTCCAAACTCTTGACTACCAAGTCAATCAACAGCTGCCTCCCCAACCACCCCTTTAGAGGTCCCCCCGAGTGGGGACCGGAGCCGAGCCACGCTGTTTCTGAGCGCATCTCTCCCCAACACTGTGCTCCATGACTTCTGTTGGCAGCTTGAAAACGGACCACAGAAATTCGTGCAAAAGCTACAAATCAGGACTTGCTCTCCCCTGCCCCTGTCACAGAGAGCCAGGTAAACATTTACCAGCTCTAGCTCATCCCTATATCCCACTAGTCCCCAAAGTGCCCACAGTTTTCGGCCCAAAGCTCCCCTCGGTCTGGGTACAGTGATGCCCAGGTGGTAGTTGAACTAAGCTTTCACATTTAACCTATGAAGGAAGCAACATGGTAACCTGACCATCCTGTCTACCCACTCGACCCACATGATACACTGAGGGCTTGAAACCCCAAGATGATGTGGAGATGGTTCACAAGACACTTTGGACATCAGCCTACTTGGCTCATTTCACAATTTCATGGTGGCAGAGCAAAGCCCACGGCTGAGGCTCTATTCCCTAAAGTGGCAGGGCCCCCGAGAACCTCCGAAACATGGCCGTGATCTGCATGTTTCAGGCATCGTGGTGTACAGGTGTTTGGCATTCACTTTCAGGCCCCATACCAACCCCGCAACATAGGCACGGACAGCCCTGTCTTTCCAAGTGAGGGCACTAAATGGGGGTCTGAAGTTGCTTCCATTACCCCAGTTGCTAGATGGCTTCCTATACCCAGTCAGACGATATGGCTTCCTATACCCAGCCCCCTTAATGCATAGGAACACCGGGTGAAATTAAGCCTCTGTATTAGTTTCCTATGGCCACTGTAACAAATTGCCACACACTTCATAGCTTACAACAACTCAAATTTATTATCTTACAGAATTCCACAAGGGGTCTCACAGGGCTGGGCAGTCAAGGTGTGGGCTGGGCCGTGTTCTCGCCAACTCTGAGAACCCCCACCTCCATCTCAAAGCCAGTGACTAGGGCAGGGGTGGGCAAACTGTTTGACTCGAGGGCCACAATGGGTTCTTAAACTGGACCGGAGGGCCGGAACAAAAGCATGGATGGAGTGTTTGTGTGAACTAATATAAATTCAAAGTAAACATCATTACATAAAAGGGTATGGTCTTTTTTTTTTTTAGTTTTATTCATTTCAAATGGGCCGGATCCGGCCCGCGGGCCGTAGTTTGCCCACGGCTGGGCTAGGATCTTTCAAAGCTCTTCCTGTGACTCTCCTGCCTCCTCCTTCCAACTTTTAAGGACCCATGTCACTACATTTGAACTCACCTAGGATAACCCAGGATGAGTTCCCATCTCCAGATCCTTAAGTCCCCCAGAAAGCTCAGGGAATAGGGCATGGTCAGACAGCTCTGTCTATTAAAGGGAAACCAGTTGCTATGATTCTAATTCTGCTTTAATGGGATCATCTCTGTACAGTGAGAGGGGTGGGAAGGGGGGGGTAGGCAAGGGCATAGACTCTGAAGCCCACCTTGCCCCTTATTTGCAGAGTGACCTTGAACAAGTCATTTAACTGCTTTGTGCCTCAGTTTCCCCATTGGAAATGGGGATTGTAACTATGAGGAGTAAATGAGTGAATGTACAAAAGTAAATGAATGAAATGCCTGGCATACAGTAACCACTAGATAACTGTTGGATAGAAAAGCAATAATGAAGTCCCACGCAGACCATGGCGCAGCCTTTCAGTGGTGAGGAAACTTCAGAAATGGCTACGTGGGGATTCCCACCAGCTGGATGAGAGAAGGGCTTAGATTTGGACAAGAAAAGGTTTTTAAAGTCTCGCCTGCTACAAGGGATCGGGAAGGGATGGCTTGCTGACTGTGGACCCTGGCTCTGTTTTCTTCACAGAGGAGCTGGCCAGGGTGAGGACAATGGTGGGGTGGGGCTGCCAAGTCATAGTGGGGGGCCACCTTATATACAAGTGCCCAAAGAGCTGCCCGCAGACCAGACCAACACTAACAGCAAGAGCAGGTGGGCAGGCCTCAGCCCTCCTCCCTGCCCCCAAAGCCAGCGACAGCCTCAACCTAAGCGCCTGACCTGCAGTCACAATGGTCCGACACAGCGCAAGGAGTCTGAGCGAACGCCCACAGCAGGAAGGCCAGGAGCAAGAGCAGGATCCGAATGCGGAGGACGGCCAGGTGGCTGGGAGGACACTCCGAGGCTGCTATCACTACAGACGCAGGCGCTGCTCCCGAAGGCGGCTGTACAGGACCCACAGAAGGCGGCGGCGCTCATGCCGAAGACGCCGGAGACGCTGCTGCAGGCGCAGGAGGCGCCGCAGAGGTTTGGCCAGTCCTACTTGCTCACGCTCTGGGCACCCAGAAGGGCAGCGGGAGGCTCATGATACCCTGGGATCCCATCCCATTTGACAGTCCCCAATCCCCAGCCCCACCCAGGTTCTCTGAATTGCCCTATGACTAGAACTCTCTTTTCCAAAAGGTTGCAGAAGGAGAAGATACAGAAGGTGCCACTAAACCTTCCTGGGCCCATCACACACCTGTTTGGAAATCAAGGAAAAGTCACCTGACAAGGAACCACCTCACATGACCACAGCAATCTCTCCATGCTGGATGCCCAAACCCTGAGCCCATAAGTTCTTGAGTAAAATGAGCAAAAGTCATCTGCCAAATAAAGCTTGAGATAAGAAACTTGCTGGCTTGTCAGGGTCTCCTTTATGCAAATGATACAAACATGGCTTCCCTTCTTTGGGGAGGTAAGAGGCTGGGGCTAGGGCAGGGAGTTCAGAAGAGTGCTTCCGGGAGCCAGGCACAGTGTGTTACCTGTGACACCCTGTGCCTGGGTTTGCCTTTTATGATGCTAAAGGCCACACTATTCCACCCTGATCTTCCCCTTTCCTTGTCATCCCCATCTGCAGGGGTCTCTAAGGCCAGGCTCTCTAACTTAAAGAACCTTAAGGATGTGTTGGGTAGCTTGGGAAAGTATGCGGAGATGGGAAGGTCTGGCATAGAGGAAACAAAAGGAAAGGGGTGGATTAGTGTGAGGCTATGGGCCACGAGATTCTGAGATGGGACCCTGTGTACCAGTCAGCAGGGCTGCAGTCCCTCTGGGGGCTCCAGGGCAGAGCCCGTCCTCACCCCTTCCTAGTTTCTGGTGGTTCTGTCATCCTGGTGTTCCTTGGCTGTGGCCACAGCACTCCAGTCTCTGCTTCTGTGGTCACAAGGCCTCCCTTGTGATTGCATTTAGAACTCACCCAGCTAACTCATGGTAATCTTCCCATTCCAGATCCTCAGGGGGGCCCGGCTGGTGTGGCTCAGTGATTGAGCACCAAACCAGGAACCAGGAGGCCACAGTTAGATGCCCAGGTTGTGGGCTCAATCCCCTGCAGGGGGTGTGCAGGAGGCAGCTGATCAATGATTCTCAACATTGATGTTTCTCTCTCTCCCTCTCCCTTCTTTTCTGAAATTAAAAAAAAAAAGGTATAGTTTTTTAAAAAAGATCCCTAAGGGGTCATTATTCAGATTATCATAGCCACCAAGGATCTGGGGCAGAAAACTGGCAAACGTTGATTTGCATGTTGGAAAATGGATACCAAGGAGACTTCACTCAGCCCTCCCCTGCTGAAATTGTGTCCTAGGGAATGTGCAGCTAGAGAGACTCATGACCCAAAAAGCTTAGGAGTGCTGCCTTTAAAGGGTGATTTTTGGAGGACAGGAAAGAGAAGGGTTTTCGTTAGATTTACAGAAGTGTGGCTGACACAGAGGACACAAACTTTAAGTACCTGTGTAGGCACCACCCAGGTCAAGAAAGTGAACATTCCCAGCCCTTCCTAACACAAGCCTCCTCTGTATCTCCAGCCCCCAAAGGGAGCCACTATTCTGACCTATTGTCACATTCTGTCAGCAGCTCTCCTAGGCTGGGTATGTCTGGGACGTGGGGAGGAGTCTGTGCACTCTCCTGCTTCTGGAAATTCTATCCCCAACTGCCATCCCAGCTCAAAGGGGGACTTTTATAAGAGCAAACGAGGCCCGATGGAGGGGCAACCTGGCAGGGGGAGGCAGCATCGGCACTGGCCTGGTGTTCTGCCTCTTCCCTGCTGTGTAGGTGGTGAGCGCTCAGTGGGGCTGCTGGTGGCGGAGGTTTGAGTCAGGTGTCAAGGCTCAGGTATCCGAGGGTGGGGAGCTCCGGGGGCACCTTTGTGATGTCAGCGCCCTGCCTACAACCCTCACAGCCCCTCCACTTCTCCCCCAGAGGCCTTCTCGCCCAGTCTGGAGAGGCAGCCAAAGCAGGCATGGGTTCCCACTGTGCCAAGCTAGGCACAGGCCACAGCCGGGGCCACGAATCCTCCATGAAGAAGCTCGTGGCCTGCGTGAGTCAAGATAACTTCTCCTTGTCCTCAGAGGGTGAGGAAGAGGAAGAGGGAGAAGAGGAGGAGGAGGAAGAGGAGCTCCCAGTACAGGGCAAACTGCTGCTGCTGGAGCCTGAGAGGCAGGAGGAAGGCTCTGAAGACGACCCTGTGGCCCAGCAGAGCCCCGAGCCCAAGCAGACGCACTCCTGACCCCCGATGACGACCCAGGAAGAGGCGCCTGCTGCTGTTCCAGCAAGAAGAACTTTCAGAAAAGAGCCAATAAAGTCTCCAAAGGAATTCTCCTCCTCCCTGGTCTCCTCAATCCTGTGCCTGTGGTGCTGTGCGTGTGCCCCTGTGTATGTGTGCGTGTGTGGTGTGTGCATGCCCATGTGTGTATGTGAGTGTGTTTAGGGAGGGGGAAGAGCAGGAGTCGGTGACACCCTGCTCCTGGCATCCAACCAGAAGTTCTCACCAGGTCCACTCCCTGCGACTTCTCCTCCACCCTCCCCTGCTTTAGGGGGCAAAAATGTGGTCTCCTGGGCAGGAAAGTCATCTCAGCCAGTCCCCTCTCTGGGGGTGTACACGTAATGGGACAGAGGGGGAGCAGGAGAGCACACAGGCTGAGAGCGCCCGAGGGGACAGTGTACGCTCCCTCAGCAAAGCCTCTATCCTGCTGTCCTAGCCACCGCGGTTTTGTTACGGAGTACTGGCTTGGGAGTTCAGCACACCAGGAATCAACTTCTTTCTGTGAGCTGTGACCTTGAGCAAGTCACGGTCTGTCTGTGAGCCTTGGCCTGTCCCTCCCTGGGTAAGGGCGAGATGAGCAGTGCCCCCTAGTCAGTGGGTTGGGAGAATTAACTGAAGCGTTGGGTGGGCCCAGGCCTGGCACACTGTGAATGTTTAAGACAGTATTGTTGCTGGCTCCACCGCCTCGCTGGCCCTGGTTTTGGGGTCAGAGTATGTGGTGGGTCTTAGTCCTCAGCCCGTGATTCTTCCGTTGCCACCCTCATATTCAAGGTGACACCCGTGGTCACAGAGGCTCACGTCTGCCTTTATGAAGGGGTCTGGCTGTGGGAGCAGGACCCATGTCCTCATGAGAGCCACAGGCAAAGGAAGCCCAGAAAAGCTGCCAGACACAGATATAAAACCCAGACCCTGTGTCCACTTACTCTGGCCACCCTGTTGTCCCTCCTGCCCGTGAAGAAATGACATGTGATCTCCACCCTCTGCCCTCAGTAGGCCCCCAAGCACCAGCTACTTGGCTGAGTAGAATCCTGATCAGGGCTGTTGGGGGAGGGAGTGGCAGTATTTCCTGGGAACCCTCAGTTACTTTGCGGGGAGGGGGAGACTGTTAGGGGTAAGGAGGCCTTGGGTTACTCAGAGGGGAAGCCACCATTAAGACTTGCAGACGGCAGAGGGCAAGTGATGTCCAAAGCAGGAGGCCCCGCTATCTACAAGTCTTAACGGATTCCTACCCATACCCCTGACCCAGTAACTCAGTCATCCAGCTTCTTCCTTTTATCTAAGCCCCAGAGATCCACCTGCCCATTTAGTCAAATATTTGTCAAGCCCCTTCTGTAGTCACTATGGCAGGGCCACAATGGGTTCTTAAACTGGACCGGAGGGCCGGAACAAAAGCATGGATGGAGTGTTTGTGTGAACTAGTATAAATTCAAAGTAAACAACATTACATAAAAGGGTACAGTCTCTTTTTTTTTTTAGTTTTATTCATTTCAAACGGGCCGGATCCGGCCCGCAGGCCGTAGTCTGCCCACGGCTGCACTATGGGCTCTGGGATGAACAAAACACAGTCTCTGTCCTTCTACACACTCAGGCGTGCGGAAGTGGGGAGTCAGCAGTGGAGGTGTGGGTGGAGGAGGAGGACCCAGAAGGAAGCAGCACAGCATGGCCGACCAGCCCACTGAGCCCACACAAGGCACGGCCATTAGGACAGAGCCACATGTGCCTCTGTAATCCCCTCAGGCCCTTCAGTGACCATAAGGCTGGATGGGGGCGGGAGCGGGGGCGCCAAACCTGGGTTTGGATCCTGACTCTGCCGCTGACTATCTGTGACTCTGAGCCTGCTCCCTCTTTGTAAAATGTAACAGTCATGACGGCCTCTAGGGTTCATTCGTTTCTTAGGATTGCTGGAACAAATGATCACAAACTTCATGGCTTAAAACAACAGAAATCTATCCTCTCTCATTCTGGAAGCCAAAGTCTGAAATCAAGAAGTCAGCGGAGCCATCCCCCTCTCCCCCAGAGGTCCCAGGGGAGAATCCTTCCTTGCCTTGTACAGCTCATGGCAGCTCAAGGCGTTCCTTGGCTTGTGGCTGCATAACTCTAATCTTTGCTTCTGACTTTATGTGGTCTATTCTCCCCGTGTGCCTTCTCTTCTGTTTTATAAGAACACTTGTGATCTGGCCAGTTTGACTCAATGGTTAGAGCGTTGGTCTGCAGACTGAAGGGTCTTGGGCTCCTTCTGGCCTGGGCCAGGGCATGTGCAAGAGGCAACCAACCATGTTTCTCTCTCTCTCTCTCTCCTCCTCTCTCTCCCTTCCCTTCCACTCTCTCTAAAAATCAATGGCAGGGGGAGGGGAAGAGGAAATATCCTTAGGTGAGGATTAACAAAAAAAAGAACATCTGTGATTGGATTAGGGCCCACTTAATAACCAAGATACACTCTACTTAACTTACATCTACAAAAATGCTTTTTCAAAATAGTATATTGACAGGTTCTGGGGTTAGGACCTGGACATATCTTTTGGGGGCTACCATTCAACCCACTACAAAGGCTCACTGTGACTCAAGGACAAAGCTGCCTAGAAGGGGGGAGGGGTTGCCCCAGCACAGCTACATAGAAAGTGCCCGTTAATGAGGGCGGTTGTCACTTGAATGATGTGACAAACTTGTTAAGAAATAAACTGTAATAAAAGCAGATGATAGTAAAGTCTCATAACAAGAGGCAAAGTGTGCCTGAGGACAGAGAAGGAGAAGTAGATGTGGGCTGGGGGGCCTGCCAGGGGAGGGGAGATGGAGACTGAAGGAGTTTCATGGGGAAGAGGGGGCAAGTGCAGGCTGAGAGTGGCCAAGAGCTAAGCCCAAGGGTGTTGGCCAAGGCGTGGGAAGGGTTGGGCTGCTATGTGCTCACAGGGTCTCGTGTGCAAACCGACTGAGCTTTCTTCCATAGGTGCCTGGAGATCCAAGTGGGGCGGGCCTGATTCCTACTGTAGGTGAGGCTTCCTGGGGCGGGGGGGGGGGGGGGGGGGGGTAGAGTCACGAGGCAGGAATCTGAAGAAGGAAGAGGGTTCCAAGTGCCTCCTGTGGCTTGACAGGCACTTCAGGTTCACAAGAATACCAGGAAGGAAGGAATGACATCCCTTTGTCAGATAAGGAAGTCTCACAAACCGAAGTGACCTACCCTAGATAGCTATCAGCACACACTGGGATTGAACCTTGTGCTAAATCTCCAGAATTTAAATCTTGCCTGGGAGGTGGGCTTGCCAGGCAGCCCCCAGGACCACTCCCATTACTCTTATCATTCATCCATCCAATAAGCCATCCAATCCATTCACATCCACCTACCCACCCATCTATCCTTGCCCTAGGTATCTATCTTATCAACCACTGAGGTCAGGACTGTGCCCTGGCCTCTAAGCGGCTAGGGGGGAGTAAGAAAAGAGCTGGAATGTTAGCAATGTTTATTGAACTCTTACTGTGGGCTGTCCCTGAGCCAATTGCTGGACACAGATTCTCTCATTTAATTTGTCTGGCATCCCTAAGAGATGGGCGTTCTTATTGTCCCCATTCTACAAAGACAGGGAACTGGGACTTGGCGGGATGAAAGCCCAGGTGAGTGACCCATAAGGAAAGGAAAATGTAGATCTGGGATGGGGATCCAGCTCAATCTGACCCAAGGGTCCCTACTCTTAACCAACAGATGGGATTACTCCAGAGGGCCCCTGAAACTTGCCCCGCCCTAGGGGTTAGTGTAAGAGTTAGGGGGCCTTGTCCCAACCAGGCCACATCTGTTACACCCCCATGGTCTGTGCCATCACAATTGGGCCCAACTATATAACCAGGGGGTGCTAGGGACTCTGCAAAGCTGCGTGTGCTGGAAGAAGAGGAGGAGGAGGAGGCAGCCTCTGCCCCCCCACAAGTAGCCTCCCATGGACACCAAGACACAGAACCCTCCCATCACCCACACCCAGCCCCATAGCAACTCTCGGCCCCAAAGCCACACCTGCAACCAGTGCAATTGCAGCCACCACTGCCAGAACTGCAGCCATGGCTGCAGCCAGAGCCAGAGTTGCAGCCGAAGCCGGATCTCCAGCAAAAGCCCAACCGGCCACCGCAGCCCACCCGGCCACCAAAACCAGAGTCCAAGCCCCAGCCCGCCACCAAGGCATCACAAACACACCATGCACTCCCGCCACTGCCCCATGAGGCCCACCACCCACTCCTGCAGTAACACCAAGAACAGAAAGAACTTGGAAGGACAAGTGAAAAAGAGGAAGGTGGTCAAAAGGAGACAGCAGGTGCACAAAACAAAGAGGCGAAGCTCAGGTACTTTTCACGCAGGTGGGGAAGGGTGAGAGGGGCTGCCCAGCTGGACGTTGGGGGGCAGTGAGGGGAAGGCTGCAACCTCCAAGCCAAGAGGGAGAAAAAACTATGGCAGTTGTGTATATGGTACATTGCTGGACTAGTTCTTCCAATAAGTTGGATGGGTTGATTAGAAAAACAGATAGGTGGCAGGTTAACTAGATGGTAGGGTGGATGGGAGATGGGAGCTGGGTGGATAAATTCATTGGAAGTGCGGTTAGGTAGAGAGATGAGTGATAGGAGGGTTAACTAGTTAAGTGGATTGATGGATGGATAGAAGAATGGAGTTGAATGAGTGGAAAGTTTGGATGTGGTTGGAAGGATATGGATGGTGAACTGATTGAGTAGGTGTGTGAATGATTAGATCATTGTGGATAAATAAATGGGCAGGTGAACTGATGGATGGTTAACTGGATGGATGAATTTAATGAACAAATGGATGAAGTTTCAATAGATGGGTAGCCTGGATATAGTTGAAAGAATGAAATGAATGTTGGATGAAAAGACTGGGTGATTCATGGATGAGTCATGAGTCACCCAGCCTTTTTATTTTTTCACGCCGTCTTTTTAAGTGGATGGAATGGATGGATTCACATAGGTCAAAAGGAACTTGACCATAGTCTATGCTCTATCCATGCCCATATTTGATTACAAATGAGAAGTCCAAGACTCAAAGGAGAGGGTTAGTGACTTCATGAAGCACAACTATTAAAGGGTCCCTTTCCTGTTCCTATCACTTAGGGCGGAAATAAACTGAGATCGCACTCCATGGCTTGTTCCTGTGTAAGTTTCACCCAAATGAGAAACACCATCATGCGTGGAATGCTAGAGGGAAGTCAAACGTTTTGCAGGAACGTGTTACTACAGTGATTTCTACGCAACAATGATTAAAGCTGGTCCACTGGATGACTTTCCTTGTGTTGGCATTTTTATTTCACTAAAGGTGTCGTGTGTTTTGGGGCCTGGTTTGGTAGCACAAAGCAGAAAAGAGGTTGCAGAGGGAGCAGGGATATGCCTTGTAATGAGACCTCATGAAAGTGTAAGGAGCCATGCCAGCACAGGGGCAGAAAGGAATGGGGGGTGGAGACACCAAGAAGCCTTTGAAGTAGACAACACTCTGTTTGTGCAGAGCCTTCTTTAGCCCTACATGCTCCCACATCCATGCACACAAGTGTGTGCACACACATGGGATGCCCTTGGGCCCACACACTGTTCATGTGATCCGCATGCAGTAGGCAGTCCGGGAGCATAGGAGACAGGTGGGAAGAGGGGTTAGAAATGTGCATTTTAGTCCAGTTTGAATCCTGGTTTACCCTAGCTCATATTTCCCTGCTGTGTGCCTCACTTGTTTCAACCAACTTTTAATAAGGGACCAAGTGTGTTCAGGGCCTGGGTGAGGACACACTAGCCCTTTCTCTGTCCAGAGAAAGAACATACATTGCCAGCCACAATAAGCTGTATGAAGGGAGCAAGGCAACATAAAGCAGAGCAACTCTGGTGGGGCTCCAGGCCAAGGAAAAAGCATGTGTAAAAAACCTGGGGTCTTCCAAAGCCTGGGGTAGCTGGTACCGGGATACAGGTGGCAGGAAAGGAGGTGGGAGGCCAAGAGGGACCAGGCTTTGCAGGGGTTTGCAGGCTGGAGAACTTGGACAAGGCCTAATAGGTACAGTATTTAAAGACGGTGTTGGCTGCTGTGTGGAGGCTGGATTATAGAGGACAGAAGGGACAAGAGGAAGAGCCATTGGTAGGGTGGGGCCAGGAGAGAGGAACTGTAGGGCGGCACTGGAACCCTCCAATACAGATGGGATGAGGGAGTGAGTTCCTCCTCCAGCAAACATTTCTTGTTGTTGTGAATCCTCACCTGAGGATATTCTTTCCCGTTGATTTTTTTAGAGTGTAAGGGAGAGAGGGAGGGGGAAAGAGAGAGAGAGAGAGAGAGAGAGAGAGAGAGAGAGAGAGAGAGAGAGAGAGAGAGAGAAATATCAATAAGAGAGAATCATTGATCAGCTGCCTCCTTGCATGCCCCACACTGGGGATTGAGTCTGCAACCCAGGTATGTGCCCTGACTGGGAATTGAAAGTGACCTCCTGGTTCATAGGAGGACGCTTAACCACTGAGCCATGCCGGTCGGGTGATGCCAGATGCTTTGACATAAAATATTTCCACTGCATCCACACACCCTCAGCAGGAGGCATTACTGTTCCACTTTGCAGATGAATGAGGTGAGATTCAGGTGAAATGATTTGATCAAGGTCTCCAAGAGGGCATGTCTAAGATCAGAGATTCATCCTTTGCCCCAATCTTCCTGGTTCCTATTTAAAAATGTAAAGCCACATAATCCCATGATAGTCTTTCACATCACAGTGAAAGGAATTTTGGAAGTACTTCTAGAGAGCATGTTTAAGGGAGGAGACAGAGATAGAGGGTCAGAGGATAAGGTCAGGGAATTTGAGCTCCACTCACCGAAGGACCTCCCTATTCCCTGAACAGTGTCCTTTTATAATAAGATCACTGAAGGCAGAAGAGCTTCTGTTATAGAGAAATGATCTCTATAATAGAGGAAGTGCACTGGGACGCAGACAGACTGGGTCACATGTGTGGTTTACAAACCCATCTTTAACCCCACATTTCCCTAAAATCAACAAGCAGAATAAATGGTGGCACAAACACAGATATCCAGTTACTTACACCAAGAAATTGCCATTCAAACCCACTCGGACACAGTGACCTAGGTTCACATGAGGGTTCCCAAATACAGGCCCCCCACCCCCATATCGACAGGCAGGCTCTCACATCCCTCCCCTCTCACTGAAACACACTCAAGCAAGCACTTGCAGACACACACACACCCTCTTACAGTCAGACACATGATGACAAGAGGAAAAACGTCAAACCACAGATTCATTCTTTCACTTACTTGGTTTGGGGTGGGGTGACAATAGTTTGGGGGCAGGCCTGCTAGAAACCCAAATTCAGGAAACAGATGCCCAACTCAGCCACTGAGGCTATACAGATTCTGAAAGCGACCTAGCTGCCTTTCAAATGGTTAATTTCGGGGGATACTAGTGTGAGGTGAAGTCTGGGAAACAGACGCAGCCCTGCCTGTGGTAGGATTGTCCGCTCAGCTGCCTGGGCACTGTCATGCCTGCAGGCCCTAGATGTCACTGGGGGCCCCAGCAGTCCTGGGGCAGGAGGGAGCAGTCAGGGAAGAGGCTGCAGAGCATGGGTTGAGGTGCCCATTTGAGGTACAATTCAGGAGGAAAAATACCTTAAACTCTGTAGCCACCCAGACCCAGAGTCAACTCCCTGCTCCCTCATTCCCTCTCTGTTTGATCCCAGGCCTGTCTCCTAACCGCTCTGAGCCAGAGTCTGCACCTCATGCTTTGTGAAGAGGTCCAAGGTGCCAGGCTCTTCTTGATTGCTGCATCCCTAGTACTTAGCACAGTCCTGCACATATTAGGAGCTCAGTAAATATTTGTTGAATAAATGAAAGAGTGGACATTAAAGCAATGATGAGATGCCACTTGTGTACCTGTTGAGTGGACAAAAATGGAAAAGGCTTGATAATAACAAGTACTCGTGCAGGCCCAGGGAAGCGGACGTGGCCAAATGCCACTGTGGAGAGGGTACCAGCACAGGCATATTGGTGGCCAACTGACAGTGTCTACTGGTGTTTAAAGTATACACAGGTTGCTCACACGTGTGCCAAGACCTTGTCCGGGGAGGTGCAGGGCCACACTGTTTGTAAGAGCAAAAAACTAGAAACAATTTAAGTGCCCATCCACAGGGGATGGCTGCATGGACATTGAGGATGCCTTTTTAAAAAATATGCAGTTTTTTTTAAAAAGAATGAAGTTGATCTATATGTAGTCTATCCGGGTTGCCAGGATATGTTATTGGGTAAAAAGGGCAGATGGAGAAAGATATAACATTTACAGAGAGAAAAATTATATACAAAGCAACATTGTATTGTTATGGGGGGAAATGCAGGTATGTGAATGCATAGAGAAAGATCTGGAAGGACACAGACCACGCTGGTGTCTGGGGTTACATCTGGGGAAGGGAAATGCTTACGTTATTTTACACAAGGGAATAAAAAAGTAAATTGAGGGAGGGGGGAGCAGAGCATCAATGAAGCATCTAGTACAGCGGTTCTCAACCTGTGGGTCGCGACCCCTTTGGGGGGTTGAACGACCCTTTCACAGGGGTCGCCTAAGACCATCGGAAAACACATATATAACTACATATTATTTTTGTGATTAATCACTATGCTTTAATTATGTTCAATTTGTAACGACAAAAATACATCCTGCATATCAGATATTTACATTACGATTCATAACAGTAGCAAAATTACAGTTATGAAGTAGCCACGAAAACAATTTTATGGTTGGGGGTCACCGCAACATGAGGAACTGTATTAAAGGGTCACGGCATTAGGAAGGTTGAGAACCACTGATCTAGTAGGTGTTCAGCAAAGCTTTGTTGACACTGAAAAGAGATAATACAAGAATGTTGAATAAACTCTGACTGTAAAGTGCTATCTTCTCTCAAGCCAATGGCATCGGTCACTTTCTGGGCTTGAAGGTCTTGGCAAGGTGACTCGGAAGGCTCTCCCCAGAGGGACTCATGCCCCAGGGCCAGCCCATTGCCTTTCCCGAGTCAAGCCTCTGCCTATAAACCAGTATGGTGGCACTGAGTATCTCTCCTGCTTACCTTCAGCTCATCTCCGGCCACTTGCCACTCAGGTCCTCAGTTTTCTGTCTCCAGGCCTGTGCCTGCGTCATGCTCTGCCGGGAGTGCTCTCCCTTCTCTTGCCTGGGCTAAGTCCCACTTGTTCTTTAAAATTCAGGTCAAGGATCACCTCTCTCCCGACCCTGCTCAGGGCCCTGCCGGCTTGGCCAGGTGCCTCCTCTTGCACCAGCAGAGACTGGGCTTCGCCATGTCATGGGCCATTGTCAAGT